AGACGCGTGACTTTTACAGAGATGACGTGGGGTACAAGCTACGTACGAACTGAGGAACAGAGGCAGTCGACAGCCAAGGTGCCCCTGGGCCTGTTCATACCCGGCAAAGCCTGGGCTTCACATCCGAGGTGAGTTCTCCTCACCCCGTGGAGGTAACCTGAAGATACTGCTGCCCGTGGGAAACAGTGGGGGAGGTTCCGCACCAGCCTGCATCTCGCCAGAGCCGGGAAAAGAAGTCGGCCGAGTGGAGAACACACATGCAAAGCAGAGAGGAAGCCGAGGCCTGGCTCGATAGTCACCACAGGAAGTGACTCCCAAGCTGCAGGTCAGTGATGATTTCTGCAGACAGCGTCAATCTTGGTCAAGAGGATAAACAATGTAGTCAAGCCAATGCTGTATGGAAATTTTCCAAACTATGAATAAATGGAAGAAAAGACGATGTGGACAGGGCCTGGTGCAGCAGGGAGGTTCCTGGTGCTCCCAGAACTTCTACAGATATACTGATGCATGGTCAAGTGTGAACAGAAATCTCCGACTTAGAAAAGGTGATGGAAAACTGGGACCAGAGGGGAGAACAGGTACGGGGAGGGAGCTGACCCGGGCGGAAGGGCCGGCCACTGGTGTTCACGGGTAGGCACGAGTGGGGTGTGGCGGGTGGGCTTCCCAGACCGCCCTAGAGCGACACTGCCCTTCCAGCTCCTTGGTTCCCTCCATTTTCCTGCTGCGGAGTTCTCCCCTCGGGAGCGTGTTTGGAGCCGCCAGGTTGACCCGCTGCCTGGGGAGCTCCTGCTCCCAGAACACCCATGACTGGAGTCTGATCTCACCTCCCAGCTCCCAAAGCCCTGCCCTTCTTAGGGTGCTGCTGGCGGAGGTGCCAAAGCACAAAAGCAAATAAATGTGAAGCCTGCCTATTGGAAACCAGGAAAAGACGCCCTCATTTTCTCAGAGCATTTGTCCTGGCTTTGCCCTCTTCTCCTCTTGAAGACTGTGTGGCCCCTGCTCAGCTGGCCTGTATCTACATCATGGCCCAGGAGCATCTTGGGCTCCTGCTTTCTGTCCTTCTGTCTCAGCCTCCAGAGTGCCGGGACTACAGGCCTGGGCCGCCTGGGCCACCTCGGCCGTTCAAGCCTGGGGAGACAGCAGCCGACACCCCATTTCTCGTGGAGGGTAGGAGCCTCACTGCAGTGGGCTCCCTACTCCAAGTTGCAGAGCCGTGTCCTGCGCTAGGAAAGAGCATTCATTTCTCTCCGGGTGGAATGAGCTGGCCAGCACAGGGGCCGCTGCCCCTCCCGGGAAGGCCTACACGAGCTCTGTGAGACAAATGGCACCACAGAGTCCTCCTGGGGACCTGCGCTGTTCATCCTCAGAGCCGTCTGCAGGGGCTGCACCTTGGTTGATGAGAGCTCCCTTTCCATCTTCACAGAGTCTCAGAGGATTGCTTGTGGTGCACAGCACATCCCAGTTAGTGCTTCTTTGATAATCAAAGCGTTTTCTTTCCCTATTACCTTTAGGGAGAAGATTTCCGAGCTGGGCAAAGACTGTGCTTTTCATATATTTCTCCTCCAGGTGCCAGCCATTCTTTTCCTGCTGAATCATTGAAAATTAACATCTTCAAACTTCAAAACATCTCCGAAGCAGCTCTGCGGATAGGTTTCTGTCCGGGGAGAAAGAGGTAAACCCAGGACATGCTTGATTTGGGAGAGTTGCACTATCAGATCTCAGCTGCTGACCTTGCTCAGTGCTGTCTCTGTTGCTATGAGAGTGAAATTTTTGAGACCACAGTTTTCTTGGTGTTTCTATCTTTTTGCAGGGGAGATGTGGACCAGGCATCGAACTCCGAACCTTACACTTGTGAGGCAGGCGGCAGAACCACTGAACTAAACCCCAGGCCCTGTTGTTGGTGGTGTTGGTGGTGGTGGTGTTGGAGTCCATGTGGGTAAAGGTCAGAACGGACCTTACACCGAGATCCTTCCTTGGAAATAAAGAGATTACTGTGAATGGTGCTGGAAGACATCTGGAAACTTTTCCAGGTAAAGGAAAGTAGCCTTTCGGGCATTTTCGTTGGTCAGCCCCATTGCTAAACATACGCTGCTACAGCAGAACAGCCCTCATGTTCCCCCCCGAAGCCCTCCTCTTTCAAAACATTTCATGGAAACCATGTGGCAAAATATTTTTTCCTGCAGGCTGCTGCAGACAGGTGGCAACTGGCCTCTGACAGATATTTTGGCTGGGGAGGCGCAGTCTCCCGACTTAGAGACACGGTCATCGGGAGGGTGGCCTGTCATCATTCTGCTCCGTGGACGGGGAGCCTCGTGGTGACGGGCACGCAGGACGGTTTTCCAGGAGTTAGGATGCCACGTGCCTGTGGCCATACCCCGTGCACTTAGAAGCAGAACTGTCTGTCGGGAGGATTTGGCTGAGGGTGGCCCATCGTTTCCCATCAGCGCCAAGCGGACGGGGAAGGAGACTCTGAGGCTCTTAATGGATATTTGGGTTTCTCGTGTAAGAGAAGTCACGTGATATTTTGTCTTATTTCATTTACCATCATGGTACCAGGGCACATTCATTTTCCTGCAAATGACCCGAGTTTATGCCCCTTTACGGCAGAGAAGAGCTGCTCTGTGTGTCAGTAGCACATTTTCCTTATCTATTCCTCTGATGATGGACACACAGGCTGCTTCCAAGATGCAACCACTATGAACTGTGCGGTTGTAACATGGGTGTGCATGGATCACCGTAATTGATGTCTTTAACTCTGGGCGAGTTTCCTAGAAGGGAAATGTAATGTAATTTCTAACTCTGGTTTTTTGAAGAATTTCCATACATACTTTCATAGTGGTTGTACTAGTTTACCTTCCCATTGGAAGTTGTACAAATTTCCAACCACCTGACCAAGGGTACAGCAGCAGGATAACAAAAGACAAGGCAAGGTCTTACTACATAAAGGGGCCCGGTCCGTCAGGACTCACACCAGGCTAAGATGCTGGCTCCTGGAGCTGTTTATTGCTGGCTACTGTTTACTGAACACACAGCTCCTTGAAGAGGTGAGGGGAGTGCGGGGAACAGGAGTGGAGGGCGCCGACGTGAGCAGGGTCCTAGCAACAAGGGTACGAGACGTTCTAGCAGGCGCAGAGCATTGATTACTGGGAGGTTTGTTGTCCCACAGACTGATCTGTGCCTCTGTAGGAGTTTTCTGTACGCGTTGTGCTGCCCTGAGCTGCGCTACCATCCTGCACTACCATCAGTCACGGATCACTGAGACCCCTGCTGTGACTGGGGGCGGGGGGCTGTTCCATCCCACACACGGACGGCTGGCTCTCCAGGCAACCAGTGTGGCTAATAGGCAGACTCAGGCTTAATATGAAAGCCAGTTTGTGAATCTGTGGCTCGCTCAGGTGGAAGAGATGCTCAGGGACAGCCCCACGACAGCTGCTGATGGCCAGGAGGCTGAGCACCAGTGCTCCTCGTCTGCCAGGGTGCTCTGAAATCAGGACAGAGGGGAAAGTCTTGCTTTGCTCTTGCAGCTCACGAACGGGAGGCCACCACGCCATTTGTGCTGGGGCAGTCTGTCAAGAAGGCCACTGTAATGTCCTTTATGCCGAGAGTCCGGAGACAAGAGGAGGGCAGCTCAGTGGGGCCCTCAAGAAGGCAGCTGCACAGAGATGGCCCCACAGAACAGGTGGCGAGAGTCAGGCACACTCTGACAGCATGAGGTGATGGGCAGCTCAGGGAGCAGGAGGCAGCCTGGCCCACGAGAGACAGTGCAGCCACAGACCGCCCAGAGGAAAGGGACATCGAGAACGAATCCCGGCACAAGTCTGCAGAGGCCAGTGAAGCCAGGACACCAGGACTTTATAGAGGGTGCCACGGAGTCCCTGCAAGGCCACGGGAAGGGCTGGATGCCACTGGCCTGGGAGCTGCCTGACCCGGTGGTCGCTGTGTGCACGGGTGGAGAGATTCAGCTGTCTCTGGGTGCGGCTGTCCCGTCCCCACCCCGAGAAGAGGACAGCTGGTCCCCAGGGGACCACAGTGGTCGCTTCACATGGCTGGAGCCATCGCTGGAGCCTCGGGCACAGGAAGGAACTTTTCCAAAGCGAGCGGGTATGACTGGCAGAGTCTGGGGCCTCCAGCGTCTCCTCCACCATCCTGGCGACCCATGGCCCCTGGTGGGACAAATCTGCGGAGCCCACTGGCATGTGCGGTCCGTCCAGTTTTGTGTTAGAGTTTGGGAAGGTTTTTGTTGTTGCTGTTGTTGTTGTTTTCATCTCACTGGATTTATGAAACTGCTTTTGGTAGTGATTCCAGTGTCAGAGGCATCCAGAGAAAGAGCAAAGAGCCTCCTCCCCTCTTTCCGTGCTTCCCTAAGGGTGGCTGTTGTAAAATTCTCTGTTATTACAACAAGATTGAGAGGAGAAAATGCTTAATATGTGGAGCTCATTAATTCACTCAAGAAATATTTTTGATACCTCTTTGCTTTAAGCACTGTGCTAAGTGCTGAAGAATCAACAGAGCTCTCTGGGACAAACACCTGTGTGCTCAGGAAGCTCAGGCCTTTCTGTTCCGAGAACGGTTAAGGGGCCCTGTGTGCTTCATAACGGGGCGGCAGCACCACAGCAACACCGGCCGGCCTGTACAGCTGAGGGCAGTGTGGTCCCTGGATGGAAAGAACAGGACTGGGAGGCCAGGGCGGGCACTGGACTCTGTGGGGACCTCCTTACGCCCTTGGGCGACCACCAGTCAGGTGCAACAAGAAGCAGGGCCTCTTCCCCCTGGGCTGGGTGGGGTCACGTCCACCACACCCTGCAACGCTTCCACAGAGAGAGGACGCTGGAAAGAGGGAACCCCTGGCTGCCCACACGTGGACGGGAGCACAGCATGGAGGGTGTGCACCGAGGCCCGACTGTAACAGCACAGAGCAGGCAGCCACAGGAGCCGGGAGCCGTGGGTGCAGTCTCCACCCTGAGTAACTGAGTGGTGGCAGACAGAGCCCTGCGCAAGAGATGCCAGAAGGCTCTGGGGAGCTCGACCTGAGACAAGAGGCGTCCGAGGGGACCCTGAGGCAGCAGAGGTCAGCGGATGCTCACACGGGAGCTCTGAAGAGAAGTGCCTGTCAGCCCTGGGATCTGCCGCTGCTTAGAGAACCAGAAACATTCACAGCCATCGCCTCTACCGCTCTCGCACAGCGGGTGTGGCACTGCGTGCCTGTAACGGTGGACCCAGAAGTCCCACTGTGGTCAAGAGACTACAGTAATTCAAATACAAGAGGCGTCTAGAGGCACTTGCAGGAGGATTGCAGCCTGGACAGCTCAGCAACTTAGTGAGACTGTACTGATTTGTATCCAGCTGCCCCCACGGCCTCACGCACGCAGGGCGCGGGGTGTTCAGGAGGTTACCGGACCATGGGGCGGACACTCGTCAGCGGATTCGCCCAGCGATGAGTTCACAGCTGACTTACCCTGAGGACACAGGACCTGGTGGGAAGAGATGGTCACTGCGGGAGTGGCCTGGAGTCCCCAAAGGAGAGCAGATGGGGATGAAAGGGAAAAATCTGAAAAAATAAAGGCCCAAAGTGTTCCATGTTTGATAAGCGAAACACAACTGATCTGATAAACTGGGTCATCTCAGGATGGAGAAAATGTGGTGGCTTCGTCTGGGTTTGGAGGAGGCTCCAGGACTGTGTGTCAGCCACACCTCGAGGCCATGCAGCCCCCAAGAGACGCTCTGGAGCCCTCACAGTCGGCACCTTCGAACATAACCTTTCTGGGAAATGGGATCTTTCAGATGGACCCACTCGGAACCAAGGTCTCACTCAGCTAGGGTGGAAGTGAAAGTTCCGCAAGGAGACACAGGTGAAGCCGGCAGCAGGAACTTCTGATGCATGACTTCCGTCTGTCACTACACGCCGGGAGCCTAGAGCAAGTCCGGGCCCTCAGAGCTTTGATTTGGAGGCCCAGCTCCTGACTGGGAGAAGGTAGTGCTCTGTTTTGTTGCTTGTTTTTGCTTGTTTGTGTTTTCATTGAGTTTATCGGTACTTTGTAAGTATACAGTATAGTTACATGCATCACTGGGATCTTGTACATTTACACGACAGATAGTGCTGCTTTTCAAAGTTCTCAGCTTTGCTCCTCTGTTGCGGCAGTATCTGTGGCCAGCCTAGAGTCATACCAGGCCTCGGGGGGCTGCTGACAGCACAGAGACCCTTCAGTTTCAGAAGGGACATCAGTCCCCAGACTCGGAGCTCTGTGATTAAGACACAGCACAGAGCACACTGGGGGGGAAGAGGACGAGGGAGAGGACTGGAGGGGC